CACTCATTGCTGATTAAATGTGTTGTGCGTGAAAAATCAAGCGGAGTACAAATGCTAACTTCGTTGAATGTCTTTTAGGACTGAAACCAAGCATTTCCATGAAATTAAATAGCACCAGCTAGTATAAGAGCATTTGAATTAAACAAAGGCAGATTGCTCCCAGCTACAACGATTCCGATAGGTAATATCCAAATAAATGCTATTAATATAGCAAGAAAAAGATAATACCAAGGATAAATGATTCATAAAAGACGGTGTAACTAATTATGAAAAGGTGGCATGAATTTAAAATATCACGGAAACAACATGCTTTTGATCTTGATTGGCAAAATTTAAAATATAAACCCGCAAAGACTTTGGTTACAACGAATACATTTTTTATGTCGAACTCATTGATTAGACCGCAGGCGAAAAAATTAACTAACCTTATTCTACGAAAAACATGTTCTGATCTTGGAATACTCTAGAGTCTATGAACTAGTGCTAATTTGCAAACAGATAAGTGAATTCAAATAAATCAACGTATTTTCCTACATTCGTGAACAATGTGGCGAATGTTATACCAACAGATGAGACTTGTTTCAAAATTTCTTCATTAATCGAATCGTTTTTATTAATTAATTGTGACGCTTGAGATGATTGAGGTTTAGCGATGGATGCATACGGTCGGCGTTGCTGTAGTACCGATGTATCAATTGCAATACTAGGAAATTGTTTATTTTTCAGTTCATTAATGTACACCAATCGAACTTTGCACGCGGAATAGGTAGCTCTGTGATTATCACCACAGTTTGGACAAATCTCTGTACTAGAGCTACACTTGTCAATTGAATGTGGTCCACTACATTTAGAACATTTTACTTGTTTATTACAGTTTTGAGCGTAGTGACCTAATTTCTGGCACCTAAAACAACGAATTATTTTGATAGGTGGAACATAATTGGCTGTTGGAAAAGCGAATAGCGTGATGACTAATTTTCGTTGAGCTAATAAGCGAGGTCCAGTAAAATAATTTGCTGTTTGCACATCAGCGAGCCCCTCACCGCGTTCGCATGCGCCTTAAGAACAACACTTGGTGAGAGCAAGATTCCCTTAACACAGAATGCAGCTATAGCTCTCAGGAAACAAAAGGCATGTTCACTTTTTTCGTATGAGTATGAACTAGGGGTGGCGCTTTACCGTTTCTTTACAGGTAACGCAGTAACGCATGCGTTATTGCGTTACTGGTAACGAGTAACGCATGCGTTATTGCGTTACTGGTAACGAGTAACGCATGCGTTACTCGTT